CCCGGCCGGGTATCGGGTAGAGTACGGGTACCCGATTGCGACCTCTGGGATGAAGCCATGTTGCAGGCGCGGGTGGGTTGATTCTAGGGACTTGAATTGTGAGAAGAAACAGGACATTGGGAAATGAGTGACAAACGGTTACTCACCAGTGACTCACGGCCTACCCGTACCCGGCCGCACCATAGTCGCAAACGGGTACCCGTACCCGGCTGGGTACGGGTAGCCGGGTATCGGGTAGGGTACGGGTATCGGGTACCCGGTTGCGACCTCTGAGGCCAGGTGCCCGACCTCGTCCTCGCTCGCTCGCACGTCCACTCACCGTGAGCGTCTTCTTGTCCGCAGACAGCTTGAACCACGTCCAGGTTGGGGTCGGGAAGCCTTGGAAGGCCAGGTGGCAACTGATCACGGCCTTGTGGCCGATGTACGCCGACAGCTTGCGCTCCTTCTTGTGGTCCTTCTTGTGGTCCTTCTTGTGCTCCTTCTTGCCCCCCGACGACACCGCGTCGAACTGGGGGGCGGCTGCGAGCAGAGCGACGCGGGGACGGGGGCAGTCAGCGCCGCGGCAGGGCGAGCGACTTGCCCCCGACGCCTACGCGGGGGGGGGGGGGGGGGGGTACCTTTGGCTTTGTTGCAAAAGTTAACGGGGCCACTGGAAAGGCCTCGACGAGACGGAGCTCTGGAGAGCGAGAGCCCCCTCTAGCGGAGGGTAATTTGGCCTACTCTTCCACGCTGACATGTTGGAGCGGGTGAGAGTACCCACATTTAACCCCACCGCACGCGACTTGCCGATCGACTTTGGCGTCCCCATTTAAGCCGCTCGGAGCACAGAGGCGGTGCGGATGGGGGCGGGGGTGGGGGTTTAAAAAACTCTGCCCCATCGTGTTTCAAGTGCCACCCCGCCAGTGCTCGCATTGGGGGACGATGGTGAGCGCTGCGCTTGCAACGCAGGGGTCATCAGTTTGATTTCTATGCGAAGATCGCCCGTGTAGACTTAACAGACTGTTGGGGCAAGTTCTGTTGGCGAGCAACCTTATGAAGGCCGGCACGGCACACGAAAGGGGGTGGCATGATTACGCACGTAATGCAGGAGATCGCCGATTATCCGGCGGCTTCGGGAGAGATTTTCAAAAACGGTGGATAATCACCGATCATCATTATTTAAAGTAGCTTATTTTTTGACACATTCTTGTATGGCGTAATGTTTTTAGGTGCTGTAGTATTTTTGTGCGTTTCAAATTAGTTTACTAGATGACATTGGCATGAATAAACAAATAGACAAAAATACATATCCTACTTTAAAAAGTTACTGTATTTACTGTACCATACTTACCACTCTAACCTCGATGATTCTGCATGGGGCGATGTATAAACGTGCAGTATTTTCATTGTTTAAGTTGTATGTAGTGTATAATGCACTGTATGTATTATTTAACACTGAAATCAAGCAAAGCTACTTTTTTTTGTAACGCTACACACAGTGGTACCGATCTCCAGACTGTTTACCGCTTTTCGAGCGATTTGCCGGTGTCACCGGATTGGCCTGGGACCACCGGATAAATGTTGGAAGCAGCCGGACAATCGGTGCGCCGGATGATTCGATGACCGACCGTATCTGAATCTCGTGACCGCTCACCTTTGACCAGAACGGTTGCGTTCCAGGAGTTGTGTTTGCTGCCGAAGAGGCAGGTGTAAGCGCCGGCCTCGAGCAAGCTACGAACGCTGAAAGCACAAGAACGGCCGCATCAACGGCCATTGTGGAGCAGAGGTCGCAACCGGGTACCCGATACCCATACCCTACCCGATACCCGGCTACCCGTACCCGGCCGGGTACGGGTACGGGTACCCGTTTGCGACCCTGGTGCGGCCGGGTACGGGTACGGGTAGGCCGTGAGTCACTGGTGAGTAACCGTTTGTCACTCACTTCGGGTAGGGTACGGGTACGGGTAGGGAACGGGTACCCGTACCCGGCCGGGTACGGGTACGGGTACGCATTTGCGACCCTGGTGCGGCCGGGTACGGGTACGGGTAAGGAATCAAAACCCGTTTGCGACCTGTGTTGTGGAGGCCCAGTTGTGGCAAGTTACGGGGCGATGACGATGACGACAACGAGACGCAGCCACAAAGTTCGAGGGTATTCGTCGAGCCGGACTTCCTTCTACCCTTTGGACGAGGCGACGTTACGACGCCGATCATCATCGCGACGAACGGGAACTTTAAATGCACGGCGGGCTGCGGAGATTACAACGACGAGTGTAATTGTAGCTCAGTGAGAACCCTTTCATTCCGCGAGAGGCAATTGGCGCGGGCCTGCGATTGGTTACTCATGCCGCGGCTTGCCCCCGTGCGGTGTCGTACCCGCAGACTCGGCCTCGGCAAGGCAAGGTAAAAGGTAAAAACGACGAGCCTACCTTTACCCTACCTTTTACCTTACCACAATACAATCACTCTACCCTACCTTTTACCCTTTAGCAGGTAAGGTAAAAGTGTAAAAACAACGAGCCTACCTTTACCCTACCTTTTACCCTTACCCCATACACATTGCCCGATGACAGGGTAATTACTGGGGTACTGCTACACATGAAGAAGGTTTGTAACAGGTAAATGCTAGGTAGAGCGCTTTATTCATGTAGAATACTCTCGATGATTCCAATTTTAAATGGAGGCCACGGACTGCGCCACGGAGCTTTTAGCGAGCGGCAAACGCAAGGTGTTTACGGTAAACACAAGGTGTTTACCGGGTAATTCTTCCACGCTACCTTTACCCGACCCTTTACCTTGGCATGTCGACACCTTTACCTTTACTCTTTTACCCGGTTTTACCTGGTAAAAAGGGTAAATTACTTCCCTTCTACATGACTTTACCGAAAGAACCAAGAAGATGAATCCCTGCAGTCACGAAAGCTTTAAATCGAAATTTAAGGGTAAATTACCTTACCCTGCTGAGGCCTACCGCAGACTTTGCAACGCGGTCTTCTGCCAAAGGTCGTGTTGTTTGGCAGGGGGGTAGGGGGGGGTTGGGGTGATGACTCCTCGTCTCTTGTAGAACATTGGGTGAAAATAAAAAATGTAAGCAATGTGAAAAACCGGATGAGTTAGTTTTGGCTTGGCAGCAATTAACGGCGGTTGCCAAAATATGGGCAAACTGTGTTGACAAAACGGTGCCAAGTGCAGCAGACCGGCGTCATGGCGCGACAAGGAGAGCTCAGCCAAGGGCAACGTCGCGGGTCAACACACGTGCTTGTCATCGTTGGCGTCATCGCCAGCGCACGCCGCAGTCTGTCCACTGCTGGATGAAGGCCTTCCCAAGCCCTCGCGCTCGTTCAAGCGAGACCGTTCCGGAGATGGTTGTCGGGAACTTCTGGGGCGTGTTCCGCCCCTTTGGCTGCGACTCCACCACCAGTCTCGTGCACTCTCGCTGCGTGCAAACCGTGACTTCTTAAAACCCGTGTGCGTCCGAGCCGAACTCATTGCTCCAGCGGTCAGTCGCCTCTTCAACGCTCTTCTGTCGCTACTACCCTACTACCGCTCGGCGATTCGTCAATCCATGCGGAGGCATCGGTTTTGCAGACCGACTGTTGCGTCTCATCCACGCTAGAGGCTGACCGAAATTCGGTTTCGGTTTCGGCGCCGAAAGTAGGCAAATGGCCTTTTCCGGCATACTTTCGGTTTCGGCCGAAAGTCAATTATTTACTTTTGGTTTCGGCCGAAACTGATATTGACTTTCGGTCGTCATTCGTCAACCGAAGATCTATTTGTAGAATGTAACGCTAGTGCTACGTCTATCACTCTGCCTATCGGCCGGTCAGTCGGCGCTAGGCAATCCTATGCGATAGGCTGCAAACACACACACGTCAGCAGCAGCAGCTTGGGAGCGAGGTTACAGCCGCAGCCATGGTCTGCTAATGTATATACGACCGGTCAACAGAATGTCTGGCTGAATGCGGAAAAACTGTTGTTTCTTAACTACAACATTCGTTAGTTTATGGATATAATTACTAAGTAAGTAACACCTAAAGATTTGATATTTAGCAACTCTTACTGCAGGCTCTGAATAATTAGTTCTAGATTTATGTTTAATTAAAGTAGCATTGCATCGTAACATATTTCATGAATCTTGTGTTCGGTAACTTTGGTTATATACCTTCCTGTTTCGGTCTCGGTCAAAAGTGTTGTTAAACTTTCGGTTTCGGCTTCAGTTTCGGCCGAAAGTCTATTTTTTACTTTCGGTCTGGTTTCGGCCGAAACCAGAAATTTAGTTTCGGTCGGCCTCTAATCCACACTGTGTTCAACCACCGCACAACACACTCGCTCACCTAACCAATCGCTCTCACTCACCCACTCAGCAATCGCCATTCGCCACGAAGTGGCGGTGACTTTCACCATGGCGCTTGTGCCAGGCTATGTGCACTTTACCACACCCACTCACCCACGCATTCACCCACACAATCACCACACTACAGGTCACCTCACTTATTTTTCAGATTATTCCCTCTCACTCCTCCACTTTGTAATTCCATCCTCCTCCTCCCATCATCATCATCGTCGTCTCTTACAACAAAAATAACCTTGCTCAATGCAAGAAACGTATTAACACGTATCGACTACCAGAAACGTCATTGGAACCTCATTTGCCAGTAAAAAATATGATAATTGGTTTTTTACCCTTCTTTTACTGGCAAATGAGGTTCCAATGGTGTAAATGCTTACCCCGAGCTCTCATACTCTGATGGTGCATTGTCTTTGAGTTGTGCGCCTTTTGGCGTCATCTGGTCCAACACCATGTGAGACTAGGCTCTAAGGAAAGCTGTCTCGGGTGTGGACCAATCAACTTCAAGGACAGTGCATACATTATCAGAGTTATGTTTTTTGTTTGCATTATGACTGCAGGTATTGTGGTCTATGCAAACATGACTCCTTGTAAAAAAGGTGTCAGTTTTGTTGCCAGATAAAAGGGTAAAAAAACAATTATCATACCAGAAACGTATTCACACCTTCAATAGTGCTGCTCTTTGTTGCGATCTCTCCCGTGTGTTTTTGGGTTGCACTGCACACGCTGTTCCGCACGCTCCGCTGCAGAAGCTCCCAGCACGGGCAGCGCAACGTCGGACACCGCGCGGTACGACTAGGGCTCCCCCATTATCAATTTCAATGACTGGGAGGTGTGGAGGGTGAATCGACGCAGCCCCAGCAACGGCTTCTCATGAGCAGCGAGACGTCACCGCCGAGCTTCTGGGATCGAACCCACGTGTCGGCCGTCCTCCGGTGGGGCATCCCGCTGGGCAGACGCACAGCGGCTCAACCCCGACGGCACAACCGGACGGACGGCACGTCAGCGCGGCGAGCTAAAGAACAACCTCGATGGTGCGGCCGTGACTCACGTGTGGTTCATGTAGTTGCTCGGCACCCAGTCGCCGTGGATCTTCGAGCCATTGTGGAGCCACGAGCGAGCCACCACCTCGTCGCCCGACGGCACGAGGCGGCACTCGAGCAGCGCGAGCGACGAGTTCTTCCCCAGGATGAGGTCGGAGGTCGCGACGACGGCGGCGGCGGCGGCGGACGGCGCTGCGGAAAGAAAAGGGGGGGGGATAAAAACGTGTCGGCAGAGACGGGGCGGCTGGCAGCAGCGCGGCGTGGTGACCGGGGGGAACAAGGCGGCTCGATCAAGTCGGTTTCCCCAAGAAGGTCCCAGGGCGAAACGTCGGGCGTCGTGCCGATGAACAGCGCGCGGTACGACCCAAGAGAGCACGGCGTGGCCGCGAAATCACCAAGAGGCCGGAATGAAGAGAGCCGGTTAACGGCAGCTGTTCCACTGCTGGATGAGACCGTGCGTGAGTAAGTCCCTCCCGCAATCGGGGTTTGAACTCACGACCTCCCGATTGCGAGCCGCTCGCTCTACCGCTGGGCCGCCTCGGCTAACCAACTCCACTGGCACACCAACTCCACTTGCACACCAACTCCACTTGCACACCAACTCCACTTGCACACCAACTCCACTTGCACACCAACTCCACTTGCACACCAACTCCACTGGCACACCACGGTCACTTGAGTATACCATCCTATAATATGTACAGGTGTCTTGCCACAAGGGACTCGCCCCCACGGGAAAAATCTGGACGCGTTGGGCAAAACGGTTACGCTGTGGATGTGCTTGTGGCTCTTACGCCGTGGCAACGTGGAATTGCTGGAGGCCGTTCAGACAAGGTGGGCGATCTTTTCATTGCCACTCACATTTGCCAAACATTCGACCCAGGAAAGCCACGGTTTGAGTCTCAAGAATATTTATGGAGAGGGTCCTGCTACATGAGGATGTTTGGCCGATTTACAAACGAGCGTGCGAGAAAACCTTGCCACACAAAATGGGGGGGGAGGTCAGAGGTGGGGTGGGGAGGGATACTACTCAAAGCTCCACACAGATCGACACAACAAACCATTGCCATCTCCTGACCCAAGGCCGTAGCCATGGAGTCAACATTGGGGGGGACCAAATCTTCTAGGGTGTCTCGGAGTCCCAATCCAGAAAAATATCTAAATTTGAAAACTCATTTCCTGCCTAAAATATTTAAAAAGTCACCAACACATGGGATGGACTTTTTATTTATTTTTTACAATAATGTCTAATAGTGTAATGTATTACATTGCCCTGTTTTTACTTTTTTACCATTTCTTATTTCATTGTATATAATGGCAGAATTTAGTGATTAATAAAGTACAACCATAACCACAATCATATGAACATAAATCTATGCATTGATTTATATGAAGACAATCCCAGATATTGTGGCCAAGGTTTAGCAAATTGTTGTTTTTATTTACATAGCATAGCAATTATTATTTTTAAAGCAATATATTGGGGGGGACATTTTGAGCATATTTGAATATTGGGGGGGGGGGGGGGATGTGTCCCCCCCAAAATATATTATAATTACGGCCTTGCCATGACCCGCCTCGCAACCCCGGCAACCCCGGCCTGCAAACAACCACACGAGCGATTACACTGGTCAACACACTTTTTCTGGCACGAGGTATTCCAACGGTTTTAAGGTAATTTTGCGATTGACAAAAACTGATTCCAAATCTGGCATCAGTTTTTGTCAATCACATCAGGTTTTTGAAATATCAAATATTGCATTTTCAATAAAAACTGCAGAAGAAAAATATTAAATAAATGTGCATATCTACATCAAATGATATTATAAACACACTATCCTAAAAATACAGCACCATATTTTAACACTAAAGCAGTCACTGACTCGCAACAACTTGCAATCATAAGTGGCAGTTAACTTTGGGTAAAATCAATGAAAATGGGGTATGCCGATAGCACCCTGAAATTAGTCTAAAACAGCTGCAAAAGTCCAGGCCAGAAAAAAAAAATTTGTTGACCAGTGTTATCCAAGCGCAAGGTCTACCGAGATCCAGGGGGGTGGTGGGGCAATGTCCCAGGGTTTTTATTCGGCAAGCCAGGCTGCCTCTCACCTGGGCTGGGAGTCAAACTGGCATCCTGGGAGACGGAGGCTCCGGCGAAGAGTGCGAGAGTGATGACGACGCACAGGGCTTGCAGCATGGCTCCCATCTCCCTTGGGGGGGCAGGGGCAGGTGAGGATTGGCAAAGACATTGTGACCGTAGCTAACGTGAATATTACACCATAAGGCAGCATTGGGGGAAGTGTGCGTGTGTGCGTATACTCCCGGTCCTGGGCACCCACCCCACCCCCCTCTAGGTCGACTCAGCCTCAAACGAGTACGGTACCTCGGCGCGGTGTGTAGTAAACAACAGCATTGGGGAGACAAAGGCAGCCGCGCGTTTGTTATTGATCGCCCGATGCCCTTGTAGGTAACGCTATCTCTGTGTCTGTGTGTGTTTTGTGTATTAACGTGGGGAGCGGTGGTGTAGCGGTTAGCGGATGTGTGGTATAATGGAGGGCTAAAGGAACGAAGCTCACAACAACGAGCGGAGCGACCGGGGCGGTTAAAACGCGACAAATTTGGCACAGTCTGGAGCACAGGTGGGGCATCTGGCGGTCATCTCAGGTGAAGGTCAACCCGAAATACCTGGCTGGGTCTGTATCGCGTGACCTCCTGCCGGAGAGACTTCCACACCGCACGTGACCTCAAGGTGCACCTAGCCTGGCACAAGCTGCCGTGATGACGTAGCCGTCAATTAATAGCGGAAAGGCGGTTGTTGTTGTTGTGTGTACGGGCGGCATAGGAGTGCATGTCTTTGGATGTACGTCTGCGTATGGATGTACATACTGCATTTTTTTGTACACGTGGGGAGCGGTGGTGCAGCGGTTAGCGCGCTGCGCTACGAACCCGGCGACCCGAGTTCGATTCCCGCTCACGGCCACCACCGGTGACGATTATCTGAACCTGTCCTGGGCCTCCCCTAGGTCGACTCGGCCTCAAACGAGTACCTGGTGCGATGTGCAAACATCGCCACTGGGGAGACAAAGGCGGCCGGGCGTGGTGCTGTCCACCCCACCCCCTCGTGTGCTGTGCTTCATAGGTGCTCGCTAACAGCACTTGCCCCTACAGTATGTTAGAAGCTACACGGGGGATCTTTGTCTTTGTGTGTGTCGCTACGTGTACAGTACACAAGTGTGCGTACAGTGCTGTATTAAGTGCAGAATAAATGCGCGTGAAGTGTGCGCACTGTATGGTACTAAATTAAGGCCGAGTAGACCTAGGCGCTGCAATAGGTTCTCGCTAACAACACGACGAGGCAATCTCCGTATAATTGTACCGTATTTAGACTACCCGTAGTTACTATTGAGACTACCCTTAGTTACTAACACACATGTCAACCCCGTATAAGTGCCCTACCTAATTATTACAGACCAATTCAGACCTTGCTGGTCACCCCGTGCCTCTTATAAATCTCAACGTTCATCCTGCAAAGTGCCATCACAAGGGAGAAACACAAACACATAGACAAAACATTATGTTGTTTTGCCCGCATTGAAACGGCGCATGGACCTGTAAACTCAATTTTCGTGAATAAGAATAACGGGTAAACCGTATGGGTTGACAGCTATGACAACCACACACTCACCCACCCACACAGCCACTCACTCACCCACTCACTCACCCACACACTCAGCCACTCACTCAGCCACACACTCACCCACACACACACTCACTCACACACTCACCCACACACTCACCCACCCACACACACACTCACCCACACACTCACTCACGCACACTCACTCACACACTCACTCACTCACACACTCAGCCACTCACTCACCCACACACTCAGCCACTCACTCAGCCACACACTCACCCACACACACACTCACTCACACACTCACCCACACACTCACCCACCCACCCACACCCACACACTCACTCACTCACCCACACACTCAGCCACTCACTCAGCCACACACTCACCCACACACACACTCACCCACCCACCCACACACTCACTCACTCACCCACACACTCAGCCACTCACTCAGCCACACACTCACCCACACACACACTCACTCACACACTCACCCACACACTCACCCACCCACACACTCACTCACCCACACACTCACTCACACTTACTCACACACTCACTCACACACTCAGCCACTCACTCAGCCACACACTCACCCACACACACACTCACTCACACACTCACCCACACACACACTCACTCACACACTCACTCACCCACACACTCAGCCACCCACACACTCACCCACCCACACACTCACACTCACTCACACTCAGCCACATACCCACCCACACACTCACCCACCCACACACTCACCCACCCACTCGCTCACCCACACACTCACCCACACACTCACTCACTCACCCACACACTCACCCACACACTCACTCAACCACACACTCACTCACCCACACACTCACTCACTCACACAGTAATCCACACACTCACCCACCCACACACTCACACACTCACCCACACACTCACCCACCCACACACACACTCACCCACACACACACTCAGCCACACACTCACCCACACACTCACACACTCGCTCACCCACACACTCACTCAGCCACACACTCACCCACACAGTCACCCACACACTCACCCACCTACACATTCACCCACACACTCAGCCACGAAATAACCCACCCACACAGTCACCCACACACTCACCCACACAGTCACCCACACACTCACCCACCTACACACTCGCCCACCCACACACTCAGCCACGAAATAACCCACCCACACACTCACCCACACAGTCACCCACACACTCACCCACCGACACTCTCACTCACCCACACACTTACCCACTAACCCACACACACTGACCCACTCACACACATGCCTCCCTTATTACAGACCAATTCAGACCTCACAATTCAGACCTCACTGCCCTTACAAATCTCGACTTCATCCTACAAAGTGCCATCACAAGGAGAGAAACACAAATAGACATTTTTTTTGCCCGCATTGAAACGGCTGTACGCAGTATGGACCTGAAAAATCAATTTCCCTGTACAAAAAATACGGGCTTAACCCGTATGATTTGACACGGTAAGTTACTATAATCTACCATGCGAAACATAACGTGTACAACAACAACAACAACAAGACCATTATTATTATTTATTTGGCACGATTGCAAAGTCCACCGCTGAATGAATGACCTTCACCCCTCCGATCGTGGCGTTCGTTTGACCATACTTCACCACTCCGGTGTGCAGCGGAGTTGATCAGCTCGAACGTGGTGGTCCTGGAGTCGAACTCGGACGTCGCGGGTGACAGGTGGAGGCTGAAGCGACGCGTTGCGGCCGCCGGTTAAAAAGTGTCGCAGTTTAAATGCCGGGGCGGTGAGCGGTGGCGCAGCGGTTAGCGCGCTGCCGGTTTAACCCCACCACAACCTCACTACCACACCACCACCACAACACAGCCACAACTCCACCACAACACAACACCACAACCACAACAACCACAACACCACCACAAACTCACTACCACACCACCAACACAACACCACCACACCACTACCACACCACCACAACCACAATACCACCACCACACAACCACCAACAACACAACACCAACACCACAACACCACCACCACAACCTCACTACCAAACCACCACCCGACCACCACCAACACAACACCACCACCACCACAACACCACCACCACAACACTACAACACCACCACAACCTCACTACCACCACCACAACACCACCACCACAACTCCACCACCACTCCACCACCACAACCTCACTACTACCCTACCATCACCCTCCCCCCAACCCAAGTTCAATTCGCCGGCCGCTGATAGCAATCAGCGAACGAGCGTTGAATCAGATTCGCTCTTCGTCCAACTTAGCACCGACCTACGGGGTGAAGTATGGTCAAACGACCCTTCCAAGACCCTCAACCCAACCATCAGTTTCGGAAGTTACCTCTAAACCTCTCGATGTCTATAAACACAAGACCCGCCCTTGTGTTTATAGACGCAGCGTCCCTTGCACAGACACTGAAACACACGTGGGATGATGGTTTTGTTTGACAGGCGGCCAGAGAGAGATGGAGAGAGGGCATTGATGGGTGATGCTGACCTGGGCTGCTGCAGGGATTGAGTCAGCACCTCCTCCTCCTGCTGCTCCTCCTGCTGCTGCTGATCCACACTCGCTCACTCTTCTCGCTTCTGTCTCTCTCCGCTAAATCTTCTCTTCTCTTCTGCACGTCTACTCCGACTGATTCTCTCGCTCTCTCTGTGATGCTCTCTTCACTCTCTCTCTATCTGACGCTCTCTCTCACGCTCTCTTTGCAATCTCTCTCACGCTCTCTCTGATGCACTCTCGCTCCACTCTATCTCACGCTCTCTCTTCTTCCCGTGCGCTCTCTCTCTCTCACGCTCTCTCTCCACTCTCTCTGACGCTCACTCTGCACTCTCCTCTCTCTCCACTCTCTCCTCTCTCTCACACAGCTCTCCCCACCCTCTCTCTGATGCTCTCTCTCTCTCCACTCTCACGCTCTCTCTTCTTCCCGTGCGCTCTCTCTCTCTCTCTGACGCTCTCCACGCTCTCTCTCTCACGCTCTCTCTCCACTCTCTCCTCTCTCTCTCACACAGCTCTCCCCACCCTCTCTCTGATGATCTCTCTCTCTCCACTCTCTCTCACGCTCTCTCTTCTTCCCGTGCGCTCTCTCTCTCTCTGACGCTCTACACGCTCTCTCTCTCTCACGCTCTCCCCACCCTCTCTCTGATGCTCTCTCTCTCTCTCTCCACCCTCTCTCTCTGACGCTCTCTCTCACACAGACCCCCCTCTCTCTCTCTCTCTGTGCCGTCATTCAGACGGGATCTCGGCTGAATCACGGGGACCGCACCCGGCAACTCCCCCGTAGAGAGACACACAGCCAAAGATCCCCCGTGTAGCCTCAATAGACTGCTGGGGCAAGTGCTGCTGGCGGACACTTACGAAGGCCGGCACGGCACACGAGGGGAGTGGCGTGGGCTGTTGACCAGCACATCACGCCCCCGGGGGCCGCCTTTGTCTTAATTTAAGGCTGAGTCGACCTAGGCGTGGCCCAGGACCGGCTAATATATTCACCAGTTGTATCGGTCGTCAGCTGGAAAATTACTACTGTACGAATACTATTTTTGTTGCTACGATTTGTGCGACATACGGAATCTTAATTAATTTTAAGGCGGTGTTACAACACCCGGAGGCAGCCACAGACATGCAACATCCTTGCATTTCCCTAAATACAAAAAGACAAAGATCCCCCATATAGCCTGAACAGACTGTAGGGGCAAGTGCTGTGAGCGAGCACCTATGAAGGCCGGAACGGCACACGAAGTGGTGGGTGGCCAGCATCACGCCCGGCCGTCTTTGTCTCCCTTGCGGAAATACTTACACATCGCACCAGGGACTCATTTGAGGCCGAGTCGACCTAGGGGATGTCCAGGACAGGTTCAGATAATCGTCACCGGTGTTGGCCGTGAGCGGGATTCGAACTGGGGTCACCGGGTTCGGAGCGCAGCGCGCTAACCGCTGCACCACCGCTCCCCACGTGTACAAAAATAATGCAGTACAGTATATCCATACGCAGACGTACATCCATGGACATGCACTCCTATGCCGCCCGTACACACAACAACAACCGCCTTTCCGCTATTGACGGCGACGTCATGACGGCGCTTGTGCCAGGCTAGGTGCACCTTGAAGCAACGTGCGGTGTGGAAGGCTCTCCGGCAGGAGGTCACGCGATACAGACCCAGCCAGGTATTTCGGGTTGACCTTCACTTGAGATGACCGCCAGATGCCCCACCTGTGCTCCAGACTGTGCCAAATTTGTCGCGTTTTAACCGCCCCGGTCGCTCCGCTCGTTGTTGTGAGCTTCGTTCCTTTAGCCCTCCATTATACCCCATTACCACACACCACTCCCTCTGAATAATCCATGCACGGCCCCCACTCACTCACTGAACGTTGCACGCACACACACACACACTGGTTAAGCCGGTGTCATATTACCCTGTTCAATTATTGAAGGCGCCAGCCATCTCGCCCCCCGCCACAGAAAATGAGGACCACGACGCTCACTGTATCATCTCCGAAAATAAATATATTTCGTCGTGGAAAATATACACGATAAGTATGATTCCCATAGCTATAGCCCTCCAGCAAATTTTTTTTAATGTATAGTTTTTAAAAAACAACACGTCCCATTAACCTTCTGGGAGTGCGTAATTTCAGCAATAAAGCCAAACTCTGGACCGGGTTTCAACATTCAGGCATCTTCTCATCGCTGCGTGCGACGGGCGGTGGTGATGTGGCCCTTGTCGTTTTGCAGAGACTCCACGGTTCGAACTACAGCGGCGGCCCCCTGGTTAATACCTGCGGTCGTATTAACCGTGAGCACATCGCCACAATATAAGCAAACAATACTGAAAATGTAATCGTAAATTACTCAATTATTCAACATGGCAAACCTCGCCCCCACGACTGCGAAAACGTTGCAGGACCCTCCTGACAACATGAATTAACCTCTCTGTGAGTGCACGTGGTAGTCGTTCAGAACCAAGTACAGGAGCTCCTATAGTTACGAACGAGTTAGGTTACAGAGGTCTGTTCGTAAGTCGATTTGTTCGAAAGTCCAACTGTGCTCCTGTCGATTCCAAACATGGTGTACACCGTGTACACTAAACACGGTGAATGGTATTAGAATGTGTATAATCTGCTGTGGACGTATATGTCACGGGTTATTCGTGTTCTGTAGATGTAGATGCCACTGCTCCTTCATGTTCTGCAGATGTAGATGCCACTGGTTCTTCATATTCTGCAGATGTAGATGCCACTGGTTCTTCATATTCTGCAGATGTAGATGCCACTGGTTATTCGTGTTCTGTAGATGTAGATGCCACTGGTTATTCGTGTTCTGTAGATGTAGATGCCACTGGTTCTTCATATTCTGCAGATGTAGATGCCACTGCTTCTTCATGTTCTGTAGATGTAGATGCCACTGGTTCTTCATGTTCTGTAGATGTAGATGCCACTGGTTCTTCACATTCTGCAGATGTAGATGCCACTGGTTCTTCATATTCTGCAGATGTAGATGCCACTGGTGCTTCATGTTCTGTAGATGTAGATGCCACTGGTTATTCGTGTTCTGTAGATGTAGATGCCACTGGTTCTTCATATTCTGCAGATGTAGATGCCACTGCTTCTTCATGTTCTGTAGATGTAGATGCCACTGGTTCTTCATGTTCTGTAGATGTAGATGCCACTGGTTCTTCATATTCTGCAGATGTAGATGCCACTGGTGCTTCATGTTCTGTAGATGTAGATGCCACTGGTTATTCATATTCTGTAGATGTAGATGCCATTGGTTCATCATATTCTATAGAGGTAGATGCCACTGGTTCTTCATGTTCTTTAGATGTAGATGCCACTGGTTCTTCATATTCTGTAGATGTAGATGCCACTGGTTCATCATATTCTATAGAGGTAGATGCCACTGGTTCTTCATGTTCTTTAGATGTAGATGCCACTGGTTATTCATATTCTGTAGATGTAGATGCCATTGGTTCATCATATTCTATAGAGGTAGATGCCACTGGTTCTTCATGTTCTTTAGATGTAGATGCCACTGATTCTTCATGTTCTGTAGATGTAGATGCCACTGGTTCTTCATGTTCTGTAGATGTAGATGCCACTGGTTCTTCATATTCTGCAGATGTAGATGCCACTGGTGCTTCATGTTCTGTAGATGTAGATGCCACTGGTTATTCATATTCTGTAGATGTAGATGCCATTGGTTCATCATATTCTATAGAGGTAGATGCCACTGGTTCTTCATGTTCTTTAGATGTAGATGCCACTGGTTCTTCATATTCTGTAGATGTAGATGCCACTGGTTCATCATATTCTATAGAGGTAGATGCCACTGGTTCTTCATGTTCTTTAGATGTAGATGCCACTGGTTATTCATATTCTGTAGATGTAGATGCCATTGGTTCATCATATTCTATAGAGGTAGATGCCACTGGTTCTTCATGTTCTTTAGATGTAGATGCCACTGATTCTTCATATTCTGTAGATGTAGATGCCACTGGTTCATCATATTCTATAGAGGTAGATGCCACTGGTTCTTCATGTTCTTTAGATGTAGATGCCACTGGTTATTCATATTCTGTAGATGTAGATGCCATTGGTTCATCATATTCTATAGAGGTAGATGCCACTGGTTCTTCATGTTCTTTAGATGTAGATGCCACTGGTTATTCATATTCTGTAGATGTAGATGCCATTGGTTCATCATATTCTATAGAGGTAGATGCCACTGGTTCTTCATGTTCTTTAGATGTAGATGCCACTGGTTATTCATATTCTGTAGATGTAGATGCCATTGGTTCATCATATTCTATAGAGGTAGATGCCACTGGTTCTTCATGTTCTTTAGATGTAGATGCCACTGGTTCTTCATGTTCTTTAGATGTAGATGCCACTGGTTCATCATATTCTATAGAGGTAGATGCCACTGGTTATTCATATTCTGTAGATGTAGATGCCACTGGTTCTTCACGTTCTGCAGATGTACCACCACCACCATCTATTGCGCGGTGGTTTAACTTACGACTCTCGGTCCGGACAGGCAATTAGACATACGGACCAGGTTTGTTAGTATCTATGAAAGTTCGTAAATCGAATGTTTGTAAGTCGGGGAGTCCCTGTAGAGCTGGGATATCCCATTAAGTACTGGATTTCATTACTAAATCGATTATCAATTTAATTGACCCACCAATCGGATGGCGCGTAAATAAGTTACAAAAATACAAGTCCCACCTCTATTCCCATATGTGCTGCTGTATATACACACAGACCCATAGGCCCGCAGACCCATATAGCCTTAGACACATAGACGTACTGTACATACAGATGCATAGACTTACATAAAGACCGTAGGCTTACATAAACAACCATCGTCGCATACTACCCATATACTGTACCGACATAACCTGATAAATAAACTGTGACTTGCATAAATTTACGTAGGAACTCGTAGGCTTATGTAAAATCACGTTTAAACACAGACTTACATAACCAGTGTTATTATCGAATGTGTTGAGCGTTTGTCATTTTGCGCCGCTGCCAACACAGCAGCATCGTCAAATCATGTTTTGATTGGATACGCTTGCATACACACCCACAGCCTCACGAAGAGACTCAAAGACTTACACACGGACCCATAGACTCGCATCGAGACCCATTGATTTACACAGGGACCCATAGACTCGCATAGAGACCCGTTGATTTACACAGGGACCCATAGACTCGCATAGAGACCCGTTGATTTACACAGGGACCCATAGACTCGCATAGAGACCCATTGATTTACACAGGGACCCATAGACTCGCATAGAGACCCGTTGATTTACACACGGACCCATAGACTCGCATAGAGACCCGTTGATTTACACAGGGACCCATAGACTCGCATAGAGACCCATTGATTTACACACGGACCCATAGACTCGCATAGAGACCCGTTGATTTACACAGGGACCCATAGACTCGCATAGAGACCCGTTGATTTACACAGGGACCCATAGACTCGCATAGAGACCCATTGATTTACACACGGACCCATAGACTCGCATATAGACCCGTTGATTTACACACGG